AATCTTAATAATTATGTTAGAAATTGGGATCATTGGTTTGTCAGTGGCGAAAATGGCGCCTGGTTGAACGCTTTTTGAAACGATAGCAACGGAGTAGTATCACGCAGTATCTTGACGCCTAGTTGTACCAATGTGCGTAAAGTGTGTGACTTTAAGCGTAGATATTACCGATCTTAAAGAGGAGATAAGTAACATCGAATGGGACGAAATGTATGCGCTTGATTCACTTGATGATTATGTTAAAATATTTTACAATCTTATAAAGGCGGTAATTGATATTGTTCCACTTATCAAACCACGTCGACCCCTACCTCCCTGGTTTGATCAAGAACTCTATAAAGCACTACTATTGAAAAAAAAATGCCACCGTGCTAAAAAGAAAAAAAAAAAAAAAAAAAAAAAAAAAAAAAAAAAAAAAAAACAGATATGTAATAAAGAATTTGAGGCTGACCTAAAAACAGATCCTAAACGATTTTTCATGGATGAAAGCCAAACAAAAAAACCACGAGACTTGCTCCAAGAATTGAATTTGCAGAAAGATATGCAGACACTGACCTTGATAAAGCAAATCTCTTTAATAATTATTTTTCTTGCACAGGGAGTACAAAAATCGCTTGGAAGATAGAACAAGTTCTATTTTTTTAGGATTTTTAAAAAAATCCCCATTGGGATGATAAAGAGACACATTTCTCAAAACCAACTGGCATACAATCACTCAAATTGTTCCTTTAGGAGATTAATTTCTTCAGGTTATGCGGGTTTATTCTGGTCGTCAGTTTCTTCCAGACATCAATCTCTCTCTCTGACCAAATCTTCCAGTAGTTCAGACAGCAAACTACTTGGAGTCCTGATTGTATTGATAAAGTGGAATTATAATACCCTAGCTATATATGTAAGAAAGCAAACAAGAAAATGTATTTAATGTGGTCTTTGAAACGAGCAGGCCTTTCCAGAAAAGAACTAGTATCCATACATACCGTATATGGTATAGGCTATTAGTTAGGCCTGTGCTAGAAAATGAGTCCCCTCTTTGGCACCCGGGGCTTGTGCTCTGTGAACACAAATTAAACGCATACAAGAACGTGTGTGTAGGTGCATTCTTTTAAAATCCTTTAATCATTGGGACTAGAGACTGGCTGATCGCTGGAACACATTATGCGCTACCTTTACCCATACGTCTTTTAACTCTGAGAGGTTCTCTCATTGGTTTACTTTAAACAATAAATCCCATGGTATGAGCCTCCGGAATTCAATGTTAAAACTGTAAGGTATAGTAACAGCACATTGTCTTACATGACAACTCGCCTAAATAACATCTAGTGTTCTCCCTGCGGTCAGCCAGTCTCTCTTCTCTACTCTACAGAGTCTTACAAATGATGATTGATTTGGTTTGATTTTTATTAAATGTTTATAAAATTTTTATATTTCTAATAATGTTATATTTTTATTGTAATGTAACGATCACCCACTTGCGTACAATAAAATTTTTATTGCCAGAGGTTGTTTTTTTTTTAATTTTAATTCGTATGTATATCTATATTTCTTTTATATATAAAGTGAATTTGTAACTGAATTTGTACAGTGGCGGATCCAGTGGGAGGGGTTCAGGGGGTTTGGACGAACCCCACTCTGTAAATAAAATACTTCTGGGTCCTGGCTTACAAAATTCATACTAACCTACCTATGCATAGGTTGGCAGATCGAAGAAACTAAGCTTAGCCCAACTAGCCTCTAATTAAGTAAAATTAAAAACACTGTTTTGGGTTCGATGTCGTAATATTTTATGTAGGAAAGTGCGTTATTTCAAGTCTATCAGTTCATCGATCCATGAAAGAAAGACTACGTATCTAACTACTCAATATTGTTGGAATATAATATCGCCTAGGCCTAGGCTATGTCTTTGTTTTTTTTTTTGTTTTTTTTTTCTTTTCTCTATGAGAATGAGATAAAATTACCAGACCATTTTTCCAGAGGGGAAAAACTTAAATTTTGTAGAACTTAAAGGTCATTACACCTTAGAAGTCAGGAAAGCTCATTCCGGCCATCTGGGAATCAAAATCCTCACCCCCTCCTCGGACCTATTTTGGAAACATTTTGAACCCTCCTTTTTCAAATCCTGGATCCGCCCCTGTTGTTTTTTGAATAAATATCCTGAAATAATAATCACCCCTAAGTGACACTAACGTTGATGAAAAATATGCAAATTATTAAGTTAGAGTTGAAAATATGTTTGCAAATTATTAAGTTCAATTAATGTCCACAAGTCCTAAGGTAGCAATAATCTTAGTAATTGTGTTCGGCAAAATTGTTCTACTAAGTTAACTGACCCAATTTGTTACATAGGCCTATTTAATAAATCATTAAAGTTAGGTTATTATTTGGAAGAGGTCGAATATATTTCCCCAGTTATCAGTATCAACACGATTTCGTTTCTAAACGGTCTTGTGAAAAAATATTGCCCCTCTACTTACCACTGTCTACAAATCAAACAATGACAAAATGCAATGCGATATAATTTATCCTGATTTTAGTAAAGCGTTTGATTCTGTTCCATTTAAAGTCCTTGTTTTCAAGCTTAAACAGTATGGAATTGTAGGAATAACAAAGAGTCGTTATTAACTTAGTGTGTTTGTGCAGACTGGGTTCCTAAGAGTACCTCTTCTTTTTAATTTCTTTATTATGATGTCTTTGTGTATTTACTTCGTCTAAATGCCTTATATTTACCGATGATCTTAAAATTTACCGCATAATCTGTCTCAATGATACGGTCCTCCTTCAAAATGATATCAATTCACTTTCCAATTGGGTACTAACAATGGGCCTCGTTCTCAACCACACCAAATAAAAAATTCCTACAACTACTTTAAAAACAAATCAATATTTTACAAAATATTATAAAAACGGATATGCCTTAGAACGCACACATTGTCAACAAGATTTAGGTATTTTATGTTGATTCAAAACTCACTTTTTTCGTTCATATAAATTTTGTCGCCAAAAAGTCTAAAAAGATATTAGGATTGTTTTGCAGAAATTCTAATACTATATCTCCCTGAGTCTAAACATTTTTTTTTTCACTTTTTGATTCCTTAATCTGTCCAGTTATTTATTATAATTTATTTATTTTCGTCTCCAAATATTTCACACACGTTTTATTAGGTTTGTTTCATATAATGATGATAATAATGTATGTAATTTACTTTCCCCATTTCGTCGTAGAAATAAGTGATCTTAAGTTTTTTTATAAAGTGGTTAACCACCTTTTTAATTAATTACGAGTTTGCCTTTGCTTTTAGTTTGTGTTCCTAAACATAGTCTGAGACGAGCTAATTTATTTTCTGTCACTTTTGATTGAGTTAATAATATTAAGAAAGGATTTATTCGTAGATTAGGTTAATATCTTAATTAGTGTATTAATATAGATACATTATTGATATTTTCTTGTATTCATTTACTGAATTTAAAAAGAAAATTATCCATTGTAATTTTGATATTAGGCTAAGGTAATTGTTGTTTGTATCCGCTTTGTTTTATTCATCCTGTAAGTGGTGGGTTTGTACTTGCTGTTGGTGTGGAATTGAAATAAAATAAAAAATACCTTACTTTCGACTACACGCCATCCACGACAGCTTGTTGACGGCATGCTTTCGTCCCCAACCAATTCCAGGAAGTAAAACAAACTAGACACCTATGTTTACATTTTTAAGAACTTTTCTACTGGATAAAAGAGATATTATTACCTGGGACAAAATTAACCAATCACAACACACCATAGATATTTATTTCACGGAATAAGATGGACAACAATGCATTGCAGGAAGTGAGATATGGCGGCTTGAAAGTTGGTGAATAAATGCACATTTCACTTTTTTTTTATATCCGTTTCTCGTAGAATGGCCTTCATAAAATGCCTAAATTTCAGGGTTTAGAGTTGGAATATTGAACCAAAACTTTAAAGGTAATACGTTATGTTTATGACATAATCACACTTTGCTCAAATTACACGTTATACGATCTATTTGGCCTTTTTTTTTTCGAAAACTGGTGATGCAAGTTTACAGCCCTTTCCTTTTACATTTAAAATTATTCTAAATTTGTAAAAATTATGCCTAGCACATATGCTAGTAAGGGGTCTAAACTATGTCAAATAGCCAGGTCTGGTCACTGTAGGTTCACGATACAAAGGACAATGACATTGAGTATTTGGATTTTGGACACCATCGACTCACCATACTCCTAGTACTAATAGATACCTTGTTTCGTCTAAAAAGAGTTGGGGAGATCGTTTTAACATTGTGAAGATAGCTTTTAAACACTATACATTTATGTTTATTTACATTCATCATAATCAGCAGTGGCGGATTTA